CTTTTACTGGTGAAATCTGGGACAATTTGACCTTCAAAATAAATAATAGAAACAAATTGTAATCTATTAAATAAACTAATAATCCATAAGTCCACACTGCTATAAATAAATGAGTGAGAAGAAAAGGTTTTCCTTATGGTAGAATTCCAGCTGATTATTATTCTCTTTGAAGGAATGCTGGAATTAGAAATTCACCATTTGGCAATCATGGAAGTAATAATGAATTGAGCCACGTAGCATCAATGAATGCTAAAATTGTTGGTAAAAATTTGATATTTACGTACCCTCAAGGTATCTCCTTATAAAATTCCTTGCAGGCAAGTCAGTAGGGAAGTCAGGCATTCCCAAGGACACCGGTCTCATTCTTTGCTGAGAATCCTAGAGTCTTGGCCTGGATATTCCACCACTGAGAGTGAATTGCTGGGGCCACCAAGGCTAATAATAAATGTGTATTTGAGTTTCCCTGCAATGATTGCTACTTGGTCACCAACATCCCAGTGGGATCTGATGCAGGGCTTATGGTTGTAGCATCAGCACTGGTAATCCCGTTGTCTTAGTCCATGTGGGCTGCTATAACAAAAATACTATAATCTGGGTGGCTTACAGACAGCAGGAATTTATTGCTCATGGTTCTGGAGTCTGGGAAGTCCAGGATCAAGGCACTGGCAGATTTGGTGTCTGGTGAGAGCCCATTTCTTCACAGATGGCTGTCTTTTTGCTGTGTCTTCACATAGTAGAAGGGGCTAGGGAGCTCTGTGGGGTCTCTTATAAGAGTATGAATCTCATGCATGAGGACTCCACCCTCATGACCTAAGCACCTCCCAAAGGCCACACCTCCTAATACCATACATTAGGCAGCAGGTTTCAATGTATGAATTTTGAGGGGGCCACAAATATTCGATCTATAGTACCCATTAAGGGACCATGTACTAAACTATTAAAATTATATTCCACATCTTAGAGCCTAGCCTAATCCACCCACATATCATCATTTCAACATGTAATCAATATAAAGTTATTAATGAAATATTTATATTTCTGTTTTGTGCTAAGTAGCCAGAATCTGGTGGTATTTCACACTGACAGCACATCTCAGGCTGGACTAGCCTCATTTCAAGTCTTTAATAGTCACCCGTGGCGACCTTACTGAGCTGCTATTTCTAGGTCTTCAGGTCCTGTTCACAGCTTGGCACCTCTCTTCTGGGTAGAATCAGGCCATTTTTTGTGCACCTGATGTAATTTTTTTGCACTCTGCTGCCTTACAGCAGCCTTCCCTAGTGGTCTTTCTTCAGCACCTTCAAGCAGGGATCCTCGCCCCTAGGGCTTCAGGGACACACTCACTGGCAGTTCCCTTAGCTTAAGGGAACCTATCAGAAACATTCTCTAGGATTTAGAGCAAGTGGTGAGAGCCAGCTGCTCTGTAGGTTAGAACAGCTGCTACATGAGTTGGACTTTGGCAAGGTCAGGAGATTAGCTAAAATGATTTTGGCGAAACAGCAGTAGCAAAAGAAAACACAATTCCGTGATAGAAAAACAAGAGACAGAGGAGGGTGGCATGTGGGAAAGAGCTTGATAGTTTTGGAAACACAGCTGGGTCAGGTTCCAAGAGCTCTGATAGACCCAGCACAAGATTTTGTTGCTCGGGAAACTTTGAACAAAAAAATTTTAGTCTGGAACCCATGTATCCTTGTGGGGCTTTCAGGGGACATCTGGATCCCCAGGAATTATAAGCAAAATGCTGCATTTCCATGCATGTTGGGGGAGACAGACACTCACAGGAATCATTTAACCACAGAAGACAGAGAATCGTGTTGTTTGGGGTTTGGAGTTACCACGTGGAGAGCCAGGGTGAGAACTGTCAGTTAACTCACAGCCAGGAGGGAGCCTGGGGCTTCTGAATGAATCCTCTCACTTTCCAGCGGAGAAAACTGAGACCTAGAGCTATCGAATTACTTGGCCAGGCAAAGATTTTCACCAGCTACTTTTTCACTGAAATACAGAAATACAGTATTTAGGGACTCTAGATGACCCCTAAGACTCGGGAGAAGTTGAGATACCCTGGACCACAGAAAACCCACTTGAAGGCTTGGAATGTTCTCTGATTACCGCAATTGGACCACACATGACTTGTACCCGACTTAGAACACTACACTAATTATGTCACAACGTAATGATAATGTTTTCCCAGTTTTGAAGAAACCTAAAAGAGTTGCTCTGCCTTGGCACTATTGACATTTCAGGTGGGAAGCTCCTTTGCACAGGCTGTCCTGTGCACGGTAGGATGTTTAGCAGCACCCCGGCCTCTACCCACTGGATGCCAGCAGCTTCCTGATCCCCACCCCACCTGCAGTTGTGACAACCAAAATTGCCTCCAGACATGACCACACGTCTGCGGGAGTGGAGCGGGGAGTCAAAATTACCTTCAGCTGAGGACTGCTGCCTCATACTGAAGGTATTTTAATACATGCCATGCTTCTAGAGGGAACATTGCAGGGGCCAAGACTTGTCAATCTCAAGGCAAGCTCAAGTTCTTAGCATTGTGTGCTTAACGTATTGGATCCACAACTGGTCAGCACTGGTGTTCCTGGATCCTGCATGACCCCATAGACTGGTTCCAAATAAACAATGGGTTAACAGTTTCCAAAGAAAAACAGGCAAAATTTTTTTCCACTTGCGCTTTTAGGCACTCCTGAGTGCTGCATCAGGAACAAGTTAAGCCTTTTCTTTTCTTTTTTTTGAGCAGTAAAATATAGGTTGTCAACTTCTCCAGCGTGATAAGGAAGAATACAATCAGAATCTTACCCAAATGAAGTTTTCCTTGGCCTCACGCAATGCATTCCATTCAGAGTTCCTCACAAAGAGAACATTTCCCCCAACTTCCTTCATATTCTCTCTAAAATGGGAGTTTTAAAGGAGCCCAACATTCGCTGCAATTTTTTTTGCAGAATTGTCCCTCTGAATAGTTACGTCTTAAAACAGCACAATTAAAAAAACGCACCCTCCAAAAAAACAAAAGACACTGTGTCCTTATAAAGCTTTTCAAATAAAGCTGATGAGCCCCTCAAATTTCCTTTTTCACCCCCAGTGTCAAGTGTGATTCGCTTTTGTTTTTTATGGGGGGGAGGAATTAGGTTTATTTATCTATTGTGACAGAGGCACTGGCAATTGAACCCAGGACCTTGTGCACACTAAGCATGCACTCTTGCCACTGAGCTCTACCCTTCCCTTCGTGGGATTCTTTTTTTATAAGGTTTTTTATAGATTTATTTTTTAATTTACTTTTTGAAGGGGGAAG